CCGAGGAGGAGGATGAGGACCGAGCCGAGGACGAGGATGGCCGAGGAGGAGGATGAGGACCGAGGACGAGGAGGACCGAGGAGGAGGAGGAGGCGGAGGAGGAGGAGGACGTAGAATGAGGAGGGGGAGGACCGAGGAGGAGGAGGAGGAGGACAAGGAGGAGGAACGCGGAGGAGAAGAAGGAAGGGGCTGGAGGAGGGGGAAGCAAACGGAGGAGCAGCAGCAGAGGCACGGGAGAGAAGGAAGGGAAAGACAGAGGAGCAGCAGAAAGGGGGGAGGGACGAGGAAGAGAGGGCGAGGGAAAGGAAGACGAGGACGCACGACGACTCGGGCCACTTCGGGAGTGGCAGCTGAGGCATGCCGTCGTGGAACCGCGGTCTGCACAGCTCCTCGAGTCGCCACGGCCGCCTGCGACGACGGTCGAAAGCCACACGGGCACGCCCAGACCTTCTGGCCGGGAGCGACGAGGCATCCAGGGCCACGGCGCGCAGCCCTGCCCGCGCCGCCCGGCAGGACTGGCGCCGGGGGGGGCGCACGGCAGTGGAGGACGGCAACGCCGAGGGGCCGAAGGAGCGGAGCGGAACGGAGAGCGGCACGCTGACAGTCCGCACCCGTGGACGGCGGCCGGTGCAGGAGCCGAAGGGCAGAGGCGGAGAGGGCCCCACAGAGGCCCCGGGATGGGACCCAGCAGGGGGCGCACGAACTTGCACGTCGAAGCCTCCGCCCCGATCTTAACCCCCGAGGCCCCAGCAAAGCCAGGGCCCCCGCAGCCCCCAAGAGATTCCCCAGAGGCCCTGGGAGGCTGGCAGGCCCCCCATAGGCCCCGGGAGGCCCGCAAGACCCCTGCGAGATGCATGCACGAAGCAGGCGTGGTGGCGGGGTGGGCCGAAAACCATGAGATGCAGACGGCAGCAACGAATATGCGCCCCGCGAACTCCTGGCCACCAAATACGCCAGACCCCCCGCCAGGAGCACTCGCGACTGAGCGCCGGGCTCCTGGCCCTGCTCCAACAGACGTCCATTCTCGAGGGAATCGCAAAATCCACGCCAGCCTAAATGGCGTGCTGGGGAGCCGTCGCAACCGCCTCGCCGGTGAAAGATCGAATAATCGCAAGTCGCAGACAGGGCGAGCCTCCGGCGGCGCTACCCCGCTCGCCCGCAACCTGCTCGACTAGTGGCGATGGGTAGATCTGTCCGAGTGCGCTCCACAACCTCGCGATGCCCTGCATCAGACCAATCGAGCGATCCGCGGAATCTTCTTTCAGAAGGAGGGCGACGGTGGGCAGTTTGGATTTGCCGCGGCCATCCCCCACGACCCGTCCAGCGATTGAGAAAGCCTGCCACACATGCGGAAAGAGGAGGGAACGAGGACAGAGAAGGAGAGGAGAGTAAGGCGTAGGGGCCAGGCTAGCGAGGTTGAGCGAGTCAGAGGGCCCCACCTGTGCCCACCCTCCCCCCCACAACACAAGAATCCGGTTCGGCCCAGCTTGAGTTTGGCATTGGAGCGCGTTCCCACCTCGCAAACGGTCAGGCGCTCGCGCGCGGCCCCGCTTGTGACGACGTGGCGAAGGGAAAACTACGCGGACCGCGCAGGGGCGGGGCCGGCAGAGTTTCCGACGGGCGCGGCGAAGACGAGGCATGGCGCCGCGCTGACACAGCACCGCCACTTTCACTGACAAGCTGCGCGGCGCCTGGGCGAGGACGGCATTTCGCCCGCTCTCGTGCGGCCCCGCTGCCGCCGTCGCTTGCACGCGACTCGGCGAACGAACCATGCGCCGCGCCCGCGCGGGACATCGAATCCGAGCAAAATGCCGACGGAGCTTGGGCGAGGGCGGGGGACGAAAAGTGAGGGGAGAGAAGAGTGGACGGAAGAGGGAGGAACGGTGAACGAGAAGGGAGTGTAAAGAAGGAAGGGGCGAGGCGGAGGAACGGAAGCGACAGGACAGAAGACGCAAAAGTCAGAACCGAAGACACAGGACGGGGGAAGGAACAGGGAGGAGGGGGAACAGTGGTGGGGGGAGGGCCCGCGACGCATTCCAAACAAAGTTGGTTGAACTGGGTGCACTGTGGTGTGTCACACGCAGCTGTGACAGCACATGCAGATTCGGCCGCCGGCCGGCGGTGCGAGGTTAACTATTTGCGCCCTCTTGGAGGTGATGCGACGATCGGCCCAGTCACCCTCGGCGTGCCCCAGCAGTTCGAAGCAAATGCCGGCATCGTGGTTCGCTGACGCCCCCCCCCTTCTGCATCGAAGGCCTCCCCCCCCAGCACTCGAGGTCGAACGGCGGCCCGTCGTGCGCCGAAGAGGGCCGCAGAGATGGGCGTGCCCCCCGAGCCATAGCCACCGCAACCACGTAGACCATGCGAAGCTGGCGCGGCACTCAGGCGTAAGGGCAACACGGATTACGGATCCACGGAACTGGCGCGTGGGCGCCAGATCCACAGGTCGGGGAAGGCACCTCCGAAGCAGGGGGCCAATGCCAGCTCGGCGACGAGGCGCACAAATTCTGCACGACAACGGGACCCGTCGCTGATCCACACGCCTGTCCGTTTTTTTCCGCACGCTCACACTAAAGCAGAGGTTGCAACGACAAGGCGACGAATCCCACAAGGACATCTCCTTGAACTCTGCCACATGATGATTACCACCGGGGTTGGTTGAACCCGCCAGCGCGCCGCACCGGCTATTCTACATCGGCTGTTTCTTGGCATCTGGCTGATCCATGAAGCATCTGAGGACGTCGTTCGGCGGCGCGCCTGGGGGGAAGTGAGAAGGGCGGTGAGAAGTCTTCTGAGCCTTCCCCGAAAACACGGGTAGCTTCTCAGAAGACGCGAGGGCTGCTGAGAAGGCCCGCTGCCTACTGAGAAGGCCTGCTCCTTCTCGCTCCCCCCCCGGGCGCGCCGCCAATGAATCCGTGTTCGCACAGTCTCGAGGACCGGACACGGCGCGCGCGATCTGCACGCCGAGGCCGGCCCCTCCTCGCCGCCCAGCGCCCGAGAACTCGGGGAGGCTGCTCGTGAGAAGAGCGGTGCTGCTGCGGAAGCCGGCGGCCTCTTCTCCCGGGGGGGCGGGGTCCCGCCGCTGACCCGCGCGTGACCAGCCATTGCCACCCGCGGTGACGAGAAGGTCCTCTCCGATGGACCCCTCTGGGGCTTCTGGCTCTCTCTCTCTCTCTCTCTCTCGCTCTCTCTCGCGCTCTCTTCCCCTCGGTGGCGGGCCGCCCCTCCCGCGCGGGCGGTAACGGGGGGGGCCGACTGGGGGGTGAAGGAACGGGCCTTGCAGGGGCCCCTTAGGGCCCCTCCTGGGCCCCTGCTGGCTCCAACAGGGGCCCCCCCATAGGAGCCTTTTCTTCACCCCCCATGCGGATCACCCCCCATCACCGCCCGCCCGCCCGCTGGCCCGCTGGAGCCATAGGTGCTTCAGCCCCCCCCCCCCCGCTGTATCCGCACCGGTGAGCGTTTTCTTATTCGGCGTTTCGACATTGAGCGAAGAGGGGGGGAGGGGAGGGGGGTCTGGCTCTGGACCTCTGCTTAGTGCGACTCTTGGCGACAGTGCGCCCTATGAGGGGAGACTCCACCTGCTCGAAACAGGCGCCAAAAACAGCCAAGATCTTCTCCATGAGGGGGGGAGGGGCGGTGCGAGGGCCCGCGCCGATCGGCAAAACAATGAATCAAAAAACGGTCACCCGTGGAGCCGTCGCGGACCCCCGATCCGATCCGATCCTTTCCGCCCTCGCCCTCCCTCCCCCTCCCGGGGGGGCCTGGCCTCAGCTTTGCGCTGGGTCGCCGCCCGCCCCGGCGGCGGGGGTCGAGCTGGCCTCGCGGGGGGGGGGGGGGGGGGGGGGGGGGGGGGGGGCGGGGAGCCGGACAGGGCAGGTCTGGGGGAGAGGGGGTGCTGGGAGTGGGGAGTGGGGGCGGCTGGGGGCCGCGCGCCCCAGAGGCGCGGGTGGCCCCGCCGCAGGTCTGCTGCCGCGGCGTGGCAGGGGGGGGGGGGGCAGGCAAGGCAGCAGACGACGACGACGACGACGACGACGACGACGACGACGACGACGACGACGACGACGACGACGGATCACGGACGACGGACCACGGACGACCGACGACCAGGGGGGTCTAGAACTGGGTCGTTTGGGATCCTTTTGGCCAGTCCCGAAGGTGAGGCCCCCAATACGGCATGGCCACACTCCGCTGATACAGGGCGCACCTTCGCAGCCGACGGGTACCACTCTCCTCTCTCAGCCGTCCACGCTCGCTCCTCGCGGGCGCCGTACACCCGCGATGCTGCCGCCTTCGCCGAGGATGGGGCGACACGGGGAGGGGGAAGGGGGGAAAGGGGCAAAGGGAGAGAGGGGGTGGGGGGGGGCGGGGGGGGCGGGGGAGCGGGAGGAGACGGAGAGAGGGGCGACGGGCAAGTCAAGTGCATCCGCGCGTCCGCGCCATATCTGACACCCTACTCCTCCGACCCGTCCCTTCCCATTGCGCTAAGTTGTCTCTATCCGCGGACGCGTGTCATAGCCATCCTGGAACTCCCCCCAAAACAACAGCATGGCATTCGCAATCGGAATCGGAGAGCTGCTTGCATAGGAGGAGGGGACGAAGGAGGAGGAGGTGGCAATTGTGCTCCTGTGGTCAAGAAATACAGGCGTCGCCTTCAGCGTTGCCTCTGTCCAAGAATCCTCCAAAATCTTGAAGAGTCAGTTGGATTTCTTCGGAATCCTCCGGTATCCTTGAGAACCCGAACGGGTTCTGAGGAATCCAAAAGAATCTGCAGGAATCCTAAGGAATCCTTCGGAATGCTTGGGAATCCTGCGGAATGCTGAGGAATGTTGGGGAGTCCTGCGGAATGCTGAGGATCTTGATGAATCCTGAGCAGCCCTGAGGATACCTGCGACATGCTCAGGCATGGACAGGCTAAAGGAGGGAGGAGTGGGGAGGCAGAAGGAGAGGAGGGCAGGAGGGAAGGGAGGGGAGGGAGGAGGCAGGAAGGAGGCAGGAGGGAGGCAGGAGGGAGGCAGGGGGGGGAAAAGGCAGGAGAGGAGGCAGGATGGAGGCAGGAGGGAGGATGGGAGGAGCAGGAGTCCTGGAGGACGGGAAGGGAGGGGGGAAGGACCCCAACTGCAGCCTGGGAGCGGTTTCCCACGCTCGCGGCGTCGGCGTCCTCCTGCTCCTGCTCCTGCGGCCCCGCGCGCGCGCGAGCCGGGGCGAGGGGCGAGTGGGCAGGGGTACTCACTCTCCTCCTCCTCCTCCTCCTCCTCCTCCTCCTCCTCCTCCTCCTCCTCCTCCTCCTCCTCCTCCTCCTCCTCCTCCTCCTCCTCCTCCTCCCGCCTCCTCCTCCTACTACTACTACTACTCTTTCTCAATCCGTTCTTCCTCATAAGTGACCCACCCCTGGCGCACCCCCAGACGTGTTGGTAGGGTGGGGCCCGGGCATTTCTCTTGAGACGCCCCCACCATTTATGATCCTGAATATTGAAATTCGCACCAGGCTTACGGATGCAGAGCGGGTGGTTTCAAAATGTGGCTCTCGCCTCAGCGCCGCGTACACTCGTCTTCAAAGCGCGCAACAGCTGCACGGATGGGGAGCGCATGGTTTTCAAAATGTGGCGCTCGCCTTCGCGCCGCGCCCACTCGGCTTAGAGCGTGCAACTGTTTCAAAGATGGAGGTAGGTTCCTTTCAAAATGTGCATCTCGCCTTAGCGCCGCGCACATTCGTCTTAAGAAGTTGCAGCCGTTTCACGGATTCGTGCAATTGAAGCCCCCAGAATGGTGTTCTGGCACGGCTTAGATTGTCAGGACGCAACTATCACGTTGATCTGCAGCGTTGAAGTCCCAGGAACGGTATTATGATACGATGTAGGGCTGTCAGAACGCTACAGCAAAATCGATTCGCGGCGCTGAAGTTCGAGGAACAGCGTTTCGGCATGATTGACAAGTTTCAGACGCTTGTCGTCCAATGAGGCACTTCCCGCAGTGAAAACAAAGTATGAGAGGAACCTACGGAGAGGGAACTTGGAGGGAGGGTGGATTGCAACATCGCTGATGCATTTTGGGTTTACTCTGGTCCTCATCCTCCTCCTCCTCCTCCTCCTCCTCCTCCTCCTCCTCCTGCTCCTCCTCCTGCTCCTCCTCCTCATATCGACAAGCGCGCTCCACCACTCGCAAAGTAACTACTCGCAAATGGCCTGGATCCACCGCAGGTGAGTTACGATACATTACGTCGAGGCAAGCATGAGTTTTTTGGAGGATTGCGAGTAGGCACTTTGCGAGTAGTGGAACGCGCTCGGTGAACATCCTCCTCATCCTCATCCTCATCCTCCTCCCTTTCCTCTTCTCCTCCTCCTCCTCCTTCTCTTCCTCCTCCTCATCCTCATCCGCAACCTCATCCTCATCCTCATCCTCATCCTCATCCTCATCATCATCATCATCATCATCATCATCATCGTCATCATCATCGACATCATCATCATCATCATCATCATCATCATCATCATCATCATCATCATCATCATCATCATCATCATCATAATCATCATCATCAGCATCATCATCATCATCCGTATCGTCATCATCATCATCATCATCATCATCATCCTCGTCGTCATCAGCATCATCATCATCATCAGCATCGGCATCATCATCAGCATCATCAGCATCAGCATCAGCATCAGCATCAGCATCATCATCATCATCATCATCATCATCATCATCATCATCATTATCATCATCATTATCATCATCTTCATCAGCAGCAGCAGCAACAGCAGCATCATCCTCGTCCTCATCCTCATCCTCGTCCGTCTCGTCGTCCTCCTCCTCGTCCTCCTCCTCCTCCTCCCTCCTGACCTCGGCACTGGCCTGGCCAAGACTGGCGCGGGCGCACAACTGGGGCCTCCCAGCGCGGGGGGGATGGATGGCGACGGGGAGGGCAGGCCTGACATCCTCGATCCGTGAGAACAGGGTAACGAACAGTGACATAAATCTAAAAACTCGGAGGGCCGCGCTGGACGTCTGCGCTGGACCCCCCGGACATAGATATAAAAATCCGCGCGGGTTTCTTGGATCTGCGCTGGACCCCCCCTGGCGGCGCCTCCGGCGCCGCCCATGGCGCGCTCCGCGCGCCAGGGAGGGGGGTCCAGCGCGGATCCGAGAAATCCGCGCGGACCTCCGAGTTTTTTTGATGTTATGTCATCCTTCGTCCCCCTGGAGAATACAACGACGGCGGGAGGCCCTCCGAGCCGAGGGTTGGGGTCAGCCGAGAAGCGAGGGGGCGGGGAGGGATCGGTCGAGGAGGCCGAACGCCCGAGCGAGCGGAAACCTGACGACCGACGTGGGATGAGTCGAGCGGAGGGTGGGCTCAGGCTAGGACGGAGGGGTGGGAGGAGGGGGCGGTCGGGCAAGCCGAACGGCTCTCCCGAAGGACGAGGGGGGAAGCGAGGAGAAGAACTGGGCCCAGGCTTCTGGGAGGCCGCGCGGCGTCGGACGTCTGGGAAGGGCAGGGCGGGGGGAAGAGATGGGGGGGCGGGGCGGGGCGGCGGCGGCGAGGGGAGGGGAGGGAGGAGAGGGGAGGAGGGGCGGAAGGGTAGGGGGAAGAGGAGGAGGAGAAGAGAAAGAGAGAGAGGGAGGAAAAAAAACAAAAACCGAGGGGAGGGGGGGATCAAGAGAGGAAGAGCGGGGGGGGAGGAGAGATGCGGGGGAACGGGGGCAAGGGGAGAATGAGAGGGGAGGAGGGCGGATCGGGGCGGGGCAACATTTGTTCTGTGTTGGTTGCTGCTCTCGGGAAGGGGCAGGAGGGGGAGAGAAGGAGCGGAGGCAGAGATGTTCAGGAGGAGGCAGGGAAGGGGGCGAGGGAGGGAGACGAAGCGGTAGGTGAGGGGACGGGGGGAAGAGGGGGAGCGGGGAGAAAGGGAGGTGCGAGGGAGATCGGTACTAATTATGGGAGACAAGAAGCATGCGACCAGCTTGGCACGGCGAAGTGAACTGTCTGGATTATGAGAGGTAGGGATGACGAATTCGCCGGGCGTACCCCCATGGCTCGATGAGGCGTGGTATAATGCCAAGTACTTGTCTGGTACAACTTCTGGACGTATTCTAGGCCCCCCCCTCCCAGTCACAAGCAGGTGCGTGCACAATCCCATCTATCCCAAGGGTCCCGAGGCTCCTAGAGCTATCCGAGGCTCTCCAAGGCTTCCAAGACAGCCCGGAAGATCAGTGTTGCTCGAGGTCGTCCCCGCCCGGGACGTTCTTACGATGGGCAGCATGCGGTTTCTAGATTGAGCGATCTGGTGGATCGAGGCATTGCGGGTTCAGGACTACGCGCTCTGGGCATTCCAGGAACGGGTCTTGCGAGCTACAGCAGTCAAAATCCGATTGCCGGCCCTGCGGTCCAAAGCAAGTCCAGTGCTACCTATGGCGCTAATTGCCCTGCCGGGAGAGCGCGGAGCATGTCGCGGCTTCCGCCGCCACAACGCCGCCAGCCTCAGAGCACTCGCAACCCGCGCGACTGAAAAGCGCACGCGCGTTGGACAAAAATAGGCAGGAGTGGATCAGCGAGACCGTGACGGGACGAGAGGCAAATGGTTGGAGCAGGCGGGCCGGTGGGACGCCGAGCCTGTGGTGCCAGACCAGAGGAGGGGCGGGAGGGGCGGGAGGGGGACGGCGGTGAGGCACCCTGGAGATGTGGCCCCAACGCCCCAGGCATCTCGAGACACGGCGCACGGGCAAAGGGAACATCTATAGGCGAGCAGGGCTCGCCGGGCATGGGACGGGTATCGTGCGATCGTGAGGCGAGACAAACTGAGAGAGAGAGAGAGCAAAACAGAAACAAAAAAACGAGGAGCACGAGCTACTTGACTCGTCGTCATCACCACCACCATCACCATCGCATCAAATCACTATGCATAATCATGATAAGAAGAAGAAGAATAGTGAAACTAAATAATACTAGTAGTAATAATAATAAGCATAACAACAAGAAGAATAACGACAATAAGAAGAAGGATACTAACAATAATAATAATCAGCATCATCATCAGCAGCATCATCATCAGCCTCATCATCAGCATAATCAGCATCAGCAGCATCATCATCATCATCATCATCAGCAGCAGCAGCAGCAGCACCACCACCATTATCATCGTCGTCAGCAGCATCCTCATCATCACCATCATCATTCAGCAGCAGCAGCAAAATCAGCATCATCATCATCATCATCATCATCATCAGAATCATCATCATGTTCCTCATTTAATCATCAGCAGCAGCATCCTCCTCCTCCGCATCATCAACATCATCATCAGCATCATCATCATCGGCAGCGGCATAATCATCATCATAATCATCGTCGTCGTCGACGTCGTCGTCATCGTAATCGTCATCGTCATCGTCATCGTCATCATCATCATCGTCGTCAGCATCATCACCACCACCACCATCACCATCACCGTCACCATCACCATCACCAAAATTTTGATCAGTCTCATCATCATCAACCTGATCATCATGATCATCATCGTCATTATTATCATCGTGATCATAAACATCAAAATCATCATCACCATCGCCATCCTCTCCATCATCATCATCATCATCATCATCATCATCATCATCATCATAAGATCCTCATCATGATCAGTCTCATCATCCTCATGATCCGCGCAAGCGCTGCGCACGAAGCAATTTGCAAGATGGCAAATTGCGATGCACTGATATTGAAAGTTGTGTATGCTGCGCCTGGTTCTGAATCGTAGCTGCGACGGCTACGTTGAAGAGCGGAGGAGGAGGAGGGGAAGGAGGAGGACGACCACAACGAAGAAGACGCTGAGACTCACAAAACCTCATGCCCACCACTGCGCGATCTGCGCAGTCTTTTGAACCTAATCGCGCCCGACCGCATTGTCGTGCAAGAAGTCGGGATGAGGAGGAGGAGGAGGAAGCAGAGCGCGACGGAAAGCAGGATAAGGGGAAGACCATACAGTGGAGGCCAGTCCACGAGAAACCTTTCACAAGAAACCCAACCCTGAGACCCCAAAACGTCCATTGATTTTTGGTGTGGGAACGTCACGCTTTTCATAGAAGAACCATCGAAACCAAAGAAACCCTGGGCACCCTGGAGGCAAGCAGGGTGTTTCTTGGCATGAGCCTCCAATGTAAGGCGAAAGGGGGAGGGGAAGGAGAAGGAGGAAGACACGAGGTGAGGCACAGTGGGGAGAGGCACAGGGGGGGGGCGGGAAGGGGATCAGCGGCGAGCGATGCACAGGGACGTCCTTCTCCTCGTCCAGCTTCATGAACGTGGTCTTCAGCCTGAGGCATCTAACTCGCTCGCGGGCCCTCGAGGGAGCGAGGAATGGGAGACCTCGCCCGTGGCAGGGCTCAAGATGAGGAGGAGAAGGAGGAGGAGGAGGGAGGAGGAGGAGGAGGAGGAGGAGAAGGAGGAGGAGGAGGGGAAGGAGGAGGAGGAGGAGGACGAGGAGGGGAAGGAGGAGGAGGAGGAGGAGCGCCACAGCGCGCCCTGCACGAGCCGGGCCACGCTCCTGCGCACAGCGAGCGTGCTCCCACCACTCAAGGAGGAGGGGAGGGGCAGCTCACGGGGAGGGCAAGGCGTCGCCGGTCAAGCGCGGGACACAGCCCGGCCAGAACCCCCAGGGGTGCACGGACCCTTCAGGGGCGCAGCGAGGCGGCGACAGTGGCACGCCTTGCAGCTGCCAGGGACAGCGAGATGTCGTTCAGGCCTGCGTGGGAAACCACGCCACTGGACGCCTCGGTGGCGCGGCAAGTTGACGAAAGCCGCACGCCTGGCGTCAACCAGCACGGCGAAGCGGGAAGAGGAATGAGAGAGGAAGAGGAGGAGGAGGAAGAGGAGGAAGAGGAGAACGACCAATGAAACCCAAGACGCATCAAGAATGTTGAAATAAACCCTCCCTCCAATTTCCCCTCCATAGGTCCTAACAAAAATGTATCCTCCAGGCGGGAAATGCCCCGTTGGAGGACAACTGTCTGAGAACCTTCAATCGTGCCACAACAGCATTCCTGAGATTTCAACGCCGCGAAAAAATGTGACTGCTGCGTCCTTGAAGCTCTGAACTATAACAAAGCAGAATTCCTGAGATTTCAACACCGCAGATCAACGTGACAATTCCGTCCTGACAATCCTCAATCATGCGAGCACCGTTCCTGGGACTTCGACTATACAAGTCCTTATGGGGAAGAAGACGAGAGAGACAAATGCTATTTAAAACATGCGCGGCGCTGAGGCGAGAGCCACATGTTGAAAACGGCCCGCCCTCTACCCTTGAAACTGCCGCAAACGTTCAAGACTAATGCGCGCACCGCTGAGGCGAGAGCCACATTTTGAAAACGGCCCGCCCTCCATCTGCGGAAGTGCTGCAAGCTTTGGAAAAATACGAACGCACGCGGCGCCAAGGCGAGAGCCCCGTTTTTTTAAGGGCCCGCCCTCCAGACTTGACAGTGCTGCAAGCCTCAGAACTCGGGATCACACGTGGCGGGGAAGACTCGGGCGAAACGCCTGGCCCGCCCGACCGACAAGTCCCCAGGGGTGCGACAGGGAGGAACCATGTACAAGGAAGAGGGACGGAGGGGGGGCGGAGAAGGCGGGAGGAGGAGGAGAGAGGAGCCAACGCGGGAGTGTTCAAGGGAAAAGGTATGGGAGCAGGACACGAACCGCAGTCACGCACTGCTCGCCCGCGCATCTCTGCTGGAGCCAAAGAGGCCACCAAACCCTTCCACTCGGAGGTCTGGAGCCCTATAGGCTCGGGAACCCGACCAGGGACGCCCCACGGAGATCCCCGGGCAAACCCATCAAACCCCTGGTCCTGGAGGCCTCCTCGAGGACCCCAGCGGCCAGGGAACGGCGCTGGAGTCCCGTGGTCATCACCAGACATCCCCAGCCATGAAACATCGAAAAACTATTATTATTTGTTTCGCATCCGCAAGGCGCGCCACGTCCAGAGGAACATCGGGGCTTCGAATGCCAGCTACCCCAACAGAAGTGCAGGAGCACTCTCACGTCCCATGTCGCAACCACGCAGGAAAGCAAACGTCGACCACGTTCGTCCCGAGGGCAGCGGCACCAAACCGAACAATTCTTCTACGCGGAGCCAACACATCTGCAATTCAAACCAGAGCAATCTGAAATTCAGACCGGGCCAATCGAATTTCAGACAGGGCCAATCTAAATTTCAGACCAGGCCAACATGAATAATGATGCATGTGCAGAAGTCTCAGGCAAAACGCCTCGCCCGAGTCCCTGGGGGGGCAACCTGACTTTCAGACAGGGGCCATCGGAATTTCAGACAGGGGCAATCTGAATTTCAGATGTGGAGAGCGCCGTCCCAAACAAAAATGTGTCATGATTTCCCTCCGCGATCAACCTGGGGCGAGGGAAATGCACAACCCCGCCGTGCCCGTCACAGCGCACCGACATGCAAGTCACACGAGCTCAACAATCGCGCGCGTGCGCGTCGACTCCGAGCGCGCCAACGCGTCTGCGTAGTCTACGAAAAGCCCAGACACCAAAATGAATTTGAACAATTTGATGTTGGGGGTGTCTGGTGATCAGTGCGAGGATCCGCCGTCACGCTGCACGCTCGCGCCAGCCGCTGCGCGAAGGACTCCGTGGAGGCGGGACACGTCTCGGGTCCCCTGCAGGCCGGGAAGAAGACCTGCTGGTGGCAGCGCCGGGGGAACTCGGGCGCCCTACACGCAAGACAGGCCGACCTCGGCGGACCCCGGTGAACCCCCGACCTCCGCGGACCCCGGCGCCGCGGTTTATAGCGGTTGTTCTTAGTTGCCCCCGCGAAACTTCCTTGGGAATGGGAGTAGCGTTCAAAAAGAACCCCCGACCTCGGCGGAGCGCAGCCAAACGAAAAGGCCCCATCCGTCCTCGTCCGCCTCGCTCGCTCGCTCGCAGCCTCGAGACATCTGGAAACGCGGCCTATCCTAGCACGAGGGGCCCAAGTCCTGCCACGAGAAAGCCTCCTCCTCCTCCTCCTCCTCCTCCTCCTCCTCCTCCTCCTCCTCCTCCTCCTCCTCCTACTACTACTACTACTACTTACTACTACTACTACTACTACTACTACTACTACTACTACTACTACTACTACTACTACGACTACTACTACTACTACTACTACTACTACTACTACTACTACTACTACTACTACTACTACTACTACTACTACTACTACTACTACTACTACTACTACTACTACTACTACTACTACTCTACTACTCCTACTCCTACTCCTACTACCTACTCCTACTCCTACTCCTCCTTCCTCCTCTCCCTTTCCTCCTTATCTCCTCCTCCCTCCTCCGCCCTCCCTCCTCCCCCGCCCCCTCCTCCACCACCCTCCCCCCTCCTGCTCCCTTTTTCTCACACTCCCTCCTCCCCTCCTCCCCTCCTCCTCGCCTCCTCTCCTCCTCCTCCTCCTCCTCCTCCCTCCTCCTCTCGCTCTCTCCTCCTCCTCCTCCTCCTCCTCCTCCTCCTCTTCCTCCTCCTCCTCCTCCTCCTCCTCCTCCTCCTCCTCCTCCTCCTCCTCCTCCTCCTCCTCCTCCTCCTCCTCCTCCTCCTCCTCCTCCTCCTCCTCCTCCTCCTCCTCCTCCTCCTCCTCTTCCACTCTCCTCCTCCACCCTTTTCCCTCCTCCTCCACCCAGCCGCCGTCCCAGCTCGAGGCCTTGGGAGCAGCTCCGTGGTGCCAGTTACCTAGGCAGCTGCGCGCCGTGCGAGATTGGGCCGCCATACCCGCTGGCCCGCACAGCCGCGGGCTGGCCGTGACAGTGCCCGTTCATATGCGAACACTGCGACGCCACGTCGCAGGTGTCAGGAAGAGCCCACCTGGCATAGGCGTGTTCCTGAAAGGCGCTCGTCTGCTCGATCGCTCGTCCGAGTTGCGCAAGCGCGTCTTCTTCTTGCAATGCATCACAATGCGATGAGAGTACGCTCGCCGCCGTGGGCCCGATCTGGTCCGTGGTTTTGCTCGCGTCGTGGTGCAGAACAATTACCGTCGTCGGCTTGGTATCTCTCGTGCTGGCCGACAGACAAGTCCAAGGCCAAGGGTGCCAAGAACAAGGAGAAGGACAAGGAGAAGGAGAAGGCTGGCCGTCGTGGTCGTTATCTTCCTCGCGGTGCTCGCTCGATTGAGGAGGAGAGCTCAGCCCCGGGCACTCTGAGCGAGGAGGTCAAGTCAGAAACCCCCGACGAGGGCGAAAACCCGGCAGTGGTGGCAGCACTGGCCGTGGCCAAATCTAATCCAGATTTGATCGATCATCCCTCGGGCATGTCGGAATGGGCCAACAAGCATCGCCAGCTGGTCAAGGAGTCCATTGCAGTGAAAGGCGCATCCAGTCTCTGGAGATGTTGCAGGAGGCTCGCCTCGGGGAGTGCGAGTCCGAGTTATCGGTCTTGCAATTCATTCACCTATGAACGTTTCCGGCCAAGGGGAGGGCGCTGAAACAGCGTTCATACGTGGATCAGGCCTCCAAGAGGTTAGAGGTGGCCCAGGCGGATGAGGGGAAAGCTCAGGCTGCTCTTGCCGCGGCTGCCATTCATCGTCAAACAGTCGAGCAAGATCTTCGTCGAGCAACAGCCACGCTGACGGAGTTCAAGAATCTACAGGAGGCGGAGGCCAAGAAGGTGGCGTTCGAAGAATAAGCCAGTCCGACCTCGCCGTCTTCGCCGTTCACCCCCGTCGTCCAGTCCCCATTCCGGGCTGGTGCCGGTGCGAGCGCCTTTCTTGATTCAAACCCATTCTGCTGCAACCAATGCTCAAGCTACTTCGTCCAATGGCAGTGGCGCAGCTGCCGTCGGAAAATTCGTCATGTGGTTCCGGCGGTGGCAAGGCTGGCAAAGGTGGTCGTCGCTCTTCGGCGGCAAGCCTGCAGGTGCTGCTGCTTCTGCTCGAAATCGTGCCTGGCAGATAGCCGTCGCCAAGTCAAGTGGAGCTGGCTCGCACTAGGGGGAGATGGCACCAGAAAGCCAGCAAGAACACAAAACTGATTGCCTTCCCGCGGGTGCCGAGGCTGCAGCAGGGAACGGAATGCACTTCGACCCCCCGAATCACCCACGCAGCCGTTCGGGGAGACAGCGACGGGCACGAATGGATTTGTTCACTAGTCCGAGAGGACGATCAAGAAGAGAATTTGGGTCGATTGCTATCAGCCCCATTCCCAACATCATCTTCCTCTCGGGGCCCAGTAGGATCCCGCCCCCTGCCCCAAAGGTGGACGTCCTCAATGCCAGGGGGCGCCCCCGCAACTCACCTCCCCGCGCGAGCCCCCCCCCC